GTTGTGTTCTGTTTTTCTCTCCTTTTTGTGGACTTTTAGCCAGCTTAGTGCAGAGAACAATGCAGACTAAGCCATCGAGGAGAATCGCATCCGACCATTATCATCTTCCCTCCCACTCGCTCATCCTACCTCTTAGCCTTGCAGCATTTCAGCTCCCATATGGAAATTATACTCTCCATTTTAGTATGTTGATTAGTGCAGACGAGATATTAGCGTTTCATCCTTTCTGTGTGCCTAAAATGCCATCTACTCCCCTAATGGCCTTTTTATATAGGCCACATAAATCTCCTCCTGTCTCCACCGGAGGGCATGGCCCTTTATTGGCCCCAATTCATCCCCCCCCTGTGTGCAAGATCTGTGATTGGTTAATGGGCTCCAGGAGGGGAGTGGCAGGTCAGTAAAGCATTCTCAGGTTGATGCCCACAGTGACCCCCTTGCTTCTAGCTGTGCAGCAGGCAGCATGCAAATAGCCTTTAATCTCCTTACAGTGACATAAAGGCATTAATCATCTAATTACGGAGTGAGATTTTGGGGATGTGCTATTAATCACAGTAGTGTTGTGCACTTTATTTTTGCCCCTTGCATGCAGGTATCTATAAAGATATGGTCACTAAAAGTGTATTTGTCACTGCTGGTAAACATAAAGCACATGCTGTGAGCCTGAGCAGCAAAAGTAATGCGATGAAAAGTTACTAAATAATCAGGAAAACAAACTCGCATAGTTGCTCAGTTGAATCTTACTCCAGTTCTTTTTTTCACATTAGCTGGGAGGTTAGTTGCCGTGGCTACAGTTTACAGACTTTGGACGGTGGGAACGGTGCATTTAAATGATAAAATGTCAAAGTAAATGAAACAAAGTAGTCTTTGACTGTGTCTCTCCTCCATGTGGAAACGAGAGATGACACTGGTCAATAACAAAGTTAGTTCCTGAAATCACGTGAATTTGAAGAGATTTCAGTCTTTTCCTGAGCACGTTCATGCTGCAGCACAATGAAGAAATCATAAAAAACAGATCATAAGGGTATTTTAAGGAAAATAAAGGAGGTGTTTGTTTTTGACTCTGAATATTAAAGGGATAGTCCACCCCTTTTTGTTTTTCTGCGTTTCAGTATCAGTGCTCCGCTCTGCTGCAGGCAAGGATGGTGTTGCGTAAGTGTAGTACTCATCTGTGTGTTGCTGCTTATAGGCGCTGGATGAGAATCACACACTGCTGGCAGAGATAAAAGACTAGTCTGCAAATCACAACTCTCATTCAGTTGAAAATCCCTGCCGATTGGCCCAAACTAGGAAGAGAGGGCAGAAGGCAACATGGCAACTGAGTCAAAGACCTCCCATGGCCTCGTTGACATCAGCAGCTGTTGAGTAAAGAGTCATATAAACATTATGGTTCATGAATCCAAAAATAGTTCTGTTGCTTATGGAGCAGGAGCAACTTTGCTGCTGCGGGATGTGTTAGCTGGAAATTAAAAAGAAAAAAAAATGAAATAAAGGTTCAGTCACTGTGCACACGGTTTCTGTAATCCTGCTAAATCCAAGGAGCCGCGCAGTTAGCACCACGTTCTAATTAAAGGACTAATAAAAAGCTTTCTGCAGCTGAATGAATATTTAATCAGGCAGAGAAGCAGTGGTGAAAAAGTGTGATGAAACACAAAGGACAAATTAAACAGCGATTCATTAATTTAGCATATCAAAAGATCAAGTTATGCTTTTTGCGGTGTTGTCGCCAGCACGCATTACCTCTCCAAGCACAGCAACAATAAGATAATTAAGTCTATAGAGATTTCATTAGTTTGGCTTTACACATCACTTTGTACCTGACTGTTTGGTTCAGGCGTCTGCTGCTGTTTTTCTTCTCTTTGGTCTGCATTATTCAGCTCTTGCTTTTACATAAATTTCTAATCACACAAAACAAACAAGTGTCCAAACACCACTCTTTAGTTGTACTAAATCTGAGCAGCATGTGATACTAAATGTTCATATTGGTGACAAATTTGCACGTCTGAGCAAGATTTTCTTTTTGCACTTAACTGAAACGTAGTTTTGCAAACAACTGTCCTTTCACAGACCCACATCGGTCACGCTTGTCAGATGAAAATGCTTTCATGTATAGTGTTCCTGTGGACAGGAAAGAGGGATCCCTGTGCACGGGGAGCATTGTGCATGATGTACACCGATGCATCAAGATTCTTTGTAGCGCTGCATGTGTTGAGGCTTGTGCAGCTCCAGAGGGGATGCAGACCCTTGATTGCCCCCTGTGTTGTTGCTGTCAGTCTCAGATCCACAGCAGGGTGGAGGGCGGGATTATATTTCCAGAGGGGAGGGGGGAGGGCTCTCAGTTAGTTCCCGTAGTGTAGTCATTATCACGTTTGCCTAACATGCAAAGGTCCCAGGTTCAAAACTGGGCGGGAACAAGATTTTTTTTTTTCTTGAAATGTAAAACTGAAATCCAGAGTACAAGTCTGAGTAATACTGTGTGACTGATAACCACATTCTGCCCTGTTGGTGTAAAAGAAACCATTTAGTAGCACAAAAGAATGACTTATCAGCTTTGATCTTGTAGATCAGTCTGAGTAGAGCACAGCCTGTACTCTGTTCAAACTGCATGTACGTCCCGGCTCACGTCTGCCTGCTTCTTTATTTGGAGACTCTTAGTCATGATACCAAAGCCTGTATTCTGCATGACTGACCTAGAGTCCAGCAACATGCAGGAAAAAGGATACTCAAATCAACCGTGACTTTTCTGTAGGTTTCTGCAAATGGACCGAATCACACGGCAGCCACATGCTTCCTGTTATGTTCATTTCAATACGCTCAAACGTGCAGGAGAGCAGATAAATGAGGGTTAGTGTGTTTAAGCACACAGAGTACAGGGTTAGTGGGATGTGCACATATACGGCCGGATGCAAGTAAACCGGCTGTACCTCATACTCGGTGCGCACACTTGCTCCCATATAAAAGCTGGGTTCTTTTATGTGGGAGCAAACTTCTTTTTTCTTCTTTACGTCTCTCATATCAAGTCTCAGCTCTGTTACCTCCTGCCATCTTCCTGAAGGTTCCCTGACTGCAAGCTGTCACTCGGAGTAAAACCTTAAATCCTCCCTCTGCTGTTAGACCAGCTGACTGAACTCATCCTCCGCTAAGTCACAGACCGCGTCTTGCAGTGCAATCCCTCCTGCTGACATTTTGTGCTTTATTCTGAATGAAATACTATAAAGTAAATGAAAGCTTGCTTCATGCAGGCCTCCTCTCAAACTCATTTCTCAGGGAAGCAGGCGAGTGGGGGAGCAAGTTCCCCTCAGCTATTTTTTAATAAACGGCCCAGTTGTGGATTCAGGCTTGGACAGGGTCACTGAGTATACAAATGGCTGTAATGGACCCTCTTTGTTTTTACAACCCTATTTGAGTACATTCATTTTTAATCAGGATTTTTAGAAATGAGCAGAGTAATAAGGAGGAAATGGGTAGGATATTTCTTTTTATTTTTTTCAATTAGTTTACTTCAGGGGGGCTTAAAGAGGCGTCATCAGTGAGCCTTGGATCTTTGCCCGGTTCCCTTCTCGGCAGTTGCTGTGTAAAGCACCGATTGCAGTGATTACCTGTCCCTCGTCTGAAGCCCAAACACTGCTGGGAAAACAGGCTTTAGCGATAATAGGAATGCGTGAAACCGGTGCCAAATGGCCTTTTTACGAGGTAATGAAATACACTCACTAAAAACTTTTAATGCCGACAATAAGAGGAGCGTGCTACCCCTGCGCTCACCCAGCAAGAGTAATTTTCCTCTACGTTGAGCACATCGCTGTGCAGGGTTGCGATGACATAACTGAGTAGTGCAGATGCTGAAACTATAAAAAAGGCATTAGCTGTTGTGGCCTCGCACAGCGGGCGTAGACTCCAGGAGACTTAAAACAACAACAAGCTGTCTGTGCTGTCTCACTGAGACGTGAGAGCCACGCTTTGAGAATATGTGCGGTGAACGAGGAGAAGTGTCTCAGTCAATCTGGAGCCCTCGTTCGACGCCTGAGAGGCTGCTGAAGGCGTACAAGGGCAGCAGAAGCGAAAAAGTTGTGGGACAATAAACTTACCGCCTTCAGTTTATTGTCCAGCATCTACGTTAGAGCCCGGGGTTACAAGCATTATTTTGCCTGGGCTTCGGGTAGTGCAGTCATGTCTCCAGTTTCCTTATTTTATCCTCCACTAAAACCGAACGTTGAGCTCCATGTGGTTATAATTTTGGAGATATTTTTCAGTTGTTTTAATTATGTTTTAATTCTCTGTAGCTACAAAAACCCAAAGGTGTCAGATCATACTTGAATGTCTTACTGCGTGCATCACTGGGATTCTTCTTTAGTGAAATGTAAAGAGGTTAAATCGGCATTTCTCTGTCAAACACACGAGGACGGTTACTTTCACTTCACCACTTTCTGTCTTAGAATGGAAATTTAAGGCTTTCTCAGGTTTTATTTAGAGACAGACAAAAGCATAAAAGCAGACTCTATTTCCGTACTACAAGTACAAACATTCCTGAGGATTTATGTGGGAAAAGAATTTCCCTGAGGGCAAAGTCCGGTTTGGTCACAACACCCACCGTGGGTACGCTGGAATTAAGTGAGCAGGTTTCGAGGAAATGTACAGGTAGTGTTGCCAGGCTTTTTTCCCTTCCTTTCTGTGTGTTGTATTGAGAAATGTCGAGTTGTCAAAGGGAGCGACGGCTCACTGATGATGTGATTAAGCAATTTTTCTGTTCCTGGGAAAATCCCAGTATGAATTTAGTCACGTCCTTATTTAGGCTTCTCAAAAATGTTAACAACCATGTTTCTGTCTGTGTTGTGTCTTTCAGCTGGATCCTCAGACTGTGCAGTCCAAGAACTGGCACATGGATGTCATAGAGATGAATGGGGTAAGTATCTGAGAGCTTGGACTAGTCCAGTAAATAAAGCCTTCAAGGTCGGAGATTTGTACACACAGAATTTTGAATAGAATAACTAAATATATACAAAGGAAATCTTGATTTATTTATTTTTTTCCATAAACTTTTTTCCACAAATTTTTCTTTTCTTTTAGGTTTTTTCTCCATATATTAAAATGATTAGCTTAAAGATCATCATCATTTATTTATATAGCACTTTAAAAACACACCTGGTAGACCAAAGTGCTGTACAATACAAATATAAACATAGTAATAAGATAGTAAAGATAGTAATAAGATAGCAGAAACCAGACATAGAAATAAAATTAATAAAAAAAACACTCGTAACAATCCCAGAGTTTCCATTTTACCTTCTTAATGTTGTTTGTTCCTCCTCAGATTAAAGTGGAATTCTCCATGAAGTTTACAAGTCGAGACCTCAGCTTAAAGAGAACGCCGTCCAAAAAACAGAGTGGCGTGTTTGGAGTCAAAATCAACGTTGTTACAAAGTAAGCTTGATCCTGTTGTTGGGACTGAAAAAGGCTCAGAGCTCATGTGTCTAAATGATAGAATGAGACATTGAAAGTTTCATGAATAGGCATTCATTGATGCATATGTGAGATGATGAGCAAAGTTCCCGTCTCATGAAAAGAAACAACTGTTTTCATGGCGCCTGTGATGAAGATGTGCAAGCCCAGTTCAGTCATCAGAAAATAACTGCTGTGCTTGTCCACAGGCGCGAGCGCTCCAAGGTGCCTTACATAGTCCGTCAGTGCATTGAGGAGGTGGAGAAGAGGGGGATCGATGAAGTGGGAATCTACAGGATCTCAGGGGTGGCCACTGATATCCAGGCCCTCAAATCAGCATTCGATACCAGTAAGACTCCATTCACTGTTTCTGTGTGACACGCTCTTCCTCCCATCGTCTTTACTGCACGACAATATCGTTTATTGTTCTTTCTCTTTGCAATGCAGTAGACGTCATTCTGTGATGCAGAATGTGTGCAATGACATTTAGATTTATACACTTCAGTGCAAAAGTCATGAGCCACAACTCATTTCTTTTGCTCTAGGAAAATTCCAAATAGCAATAATTTATTGAGAGGCAAAGATACAGCTAAATACAGAGTTTGTATGATTCTGAAACTTAAAAGTTAATATTTGTTATGACCACCTTTATTCTTTATGTGAGCCTGAACTTTCTTACTTTAAGCTGCCTTTTTGTAATTTCTCTAAGAAGTCCCAGGAATAGTAGGAAGAGGCTTCTTGAAGGACACTCAAAGCTCTTCTTTGGATGTTCTCTGACAAGATGATCCCACATTGCGTCAGTAATGTCGAGATCCACAATCTAGGGAGGGCAGTCTATGACTGATAGTATTGCATCGTCCTAAAGATGTTGCTGCTGACTTTCAGTTCAGTTCTTGTGTAATCTGGCATACCTCAGCAACCGTCATCCTTCTACTTAGACCATTTCTGATGAAGCTTCAGTGAACAGTAGATGGATTAACTAAAGAAATGGGGGCAAATTGTGTTTTGCCAAATGCAGCTAGCAACAAAGTACCTAAAGATCCAAAGATAAAATAAACTCTTTGCTAAGTTGTCTGTTATGTGTAGACACAACAATGGTTCATCCCCTGAGTTAGATGCCTTTTTTATGCTTGAGTGATTCACAGATTGGCGTGAAGTGGCTTAACAAAGAAAAAAACATTCCTCTGAAGCTGGTCAGATACAGACACAAGAACAATAGTTCAGTATCAGTGAAGGCTTATACTGATTTTCAGCAGAATACATGAGTCATCTGTCTGTGTTCTTGCACTTTGCTTTTAAAAATCTGTGAGACGCCCAGTGCACTCTGCACATTGTCAAAAACACTGGTCTCACTGCAGCGAACAGCTGAAACTGACAGGAAACCGCAGACAGACTGTATGAGGACACTCTGCAGGGCTCACTCTGTTTTCCAGCACAGCGATTAATTCGCTCACTCTGTTGAGCAGGAATCACGTATGAACAACCAGGTTACAGATGTTACTGGCAAACATTATAAAATGATCCACACAGCAAAAAAAAAAATCACCATTTGTCTTTTATTGTATGTGTCCTGAACTTGGGTCATGTGAGAGTCAGTAAGGCGATAGGTTTAACACAAAACCGGC